ACACGGGACACACACAGGGTGTATGGGACACACAGCTCCCTGCAGTGTGACACACATGACACACGGGGAGACAAGGACACACACGGGACATACACAAGGTGTATGGGACACACAGCTCCCTGCAGCGTGACACACGGGGACACACATGAGACACAGGGTGTATGGGACACACAGCTCCCTGCACCATGACACATGGGGAGACAAGGACACACATGGGACACACACAGGGTGTATGGGACACATAGCTCCCTGCAGCGTAACACACATGACACACGGGGAGACAGGGACACACACGGTGTATGGGGCACATAGCTCCCTGCAGCGTGACACACGGAGAGACAGGGACACACACGGTGTATGGGGCACACAGCTCCCTGCAACGTGACACACGTGGGACAGGGGGAGACAGGGACACGCACAGTGTATGGGGCACACAGCTCCCTGCAGCGTGACACACATGGGACACGGGGAGACAGGGACATACACGGGACACACACAGGGTGTATGGAACACACAGCTCCCTGCAGCGTGACACACATGGGACACAGGGAGATGGACACACATGGGACACACACAGGGTGTATGGGACACACAGCTCCCCGCAGCGTGACACACGTGACACACGGGGAGACAGGGACACACACGGGACATGTGGGTCCTGCAGCTGTGCAGCGTGTGGGAGCCCTTCATCCCTTTTAACATAATAGTTTTTTCAGATAACTACGTGCGTGAGAGTATTTCTGAATTCTCTCGGTGTCTGTTTTGTTTGTGGTTGCGGGGACGGGAGGGTCCCCTGGATGCTGTCTGCCCTGCTCACTTGTGATGGCCTCTGTCCTGCAAATGCTGGTGCATGGACAGCTGAGTGGACGTAGGGTCTTTCTCAGCTCCAGTCCTAAATTCAAGGCGTCGTCTCAACTCTGCCCCCACTGCTGTAAATTCGGTGGGCCTAGGGTCCAGGGTGGGCTCGTGGTGGCCAGCACGTGTCCAGGTTGGGAGTTGGCCTCCTGTCTGTCCATCGAGTCCTTCCCTTTCATGTGCCACTTTCAAAACCTAAAAGGGGTTTCTCAGTGAGCAGCAGCAGGGATCATCCTTATGTCGTGAAAAGGAGCGGGCGGAGGGGGTCCAAGCTGACCCTGCGCCCTGCAGCCCACAGAAGTGGGTTTCCGTTGATGCGTCATGTCTTCAGATTGCTGGATTTGAGGGTCCGAGTGTCCCCTGGGGCTGCCGTAACACAGGGCTACAGACTGGGGGCTGAAAACAACAGGAAATTATCCTCTCTCTGTTCTGGAGGCCAGAAGTCCAAAATCAAGGAGTTGATACAGGACCACCACCCAGGCAGGGTGTGGAGGAGTTTCCTGAGGCAGCCGTGACAAATAACCACAAACCAGGGGCTTAAAATTCCTCCTCCCCCAGTCCTGGAGACCAGACGTCTGAGATGAAGGGGTCACAGGGCTGCGCTCCCTCCGGAGGCTCCGGGGGAGGGTCCTTCCTGCCTCTTCCAGCTTCTGGGGCTCCAGGCGTCCCTGGGCTGGTGGCCGCCTCCCTCCATCTCTGCCTCTGTCTCCACGTGGCTTCTCCTCTGTGTCTGTGTCTCCTCTTCTGTCTCTGATGAGGACACTGTCATTGGATTTAGGGCCACCCTCATCCAGGATGGCCTCATGTCCATCCTTCACCTAATCACATCTGTAAAGACCCTATTTCCAAATAAGGTCCTGTTCCTAGGTTCCATGAGTCAGGATGTGGATGTCTATTTTGGAGACACAATTCAGCATATAACACCATCCTGTCATTCCGCATCGGGGGTGACTGTCATTGAGGCAGGATAAATTGGGGGATGGGAGAGACTTTGACTTCACTTCTCCATCTGTGGGTGTAGTGCTTGTTTGGTACGAGCTGAATTGTGTCCCCCCCAAATCCACATGTTGGAGCCCTGACCCCCAGGACCTCAGGATGGGGCTGTATGTGGAGATGGGTCTAAAGAGGTGATGAAGGTAACGTGAGGTCATGAGGGTGGGTCCTGATCCAGTAGGACTGGCGTCCTTATGAGAAGAGGAGATGAGCACACAGACACACAGAGGGACGACCACGTGAGGACACGGGGAGAAGACGGCGTCTACACGCCAAGGAGAGAGGCCTCAGGAGGAACCAGCCCTGTGACACCTGGATCTCAGACTCCAGCCTCCAGGACTGGGAGACGATAAGTGTCTGTGGTTTAAGCCGCCCCGTCTGAGGTCCTTTGTTAGGGCAGCCCACGCAGACTCATACAGTGCTGTTCAATTTTACTTCTTATCAATCGAGTTTAGTTAAATGCACTTGACTTCTAATCACAATCAGGATGCGAGTGTGAATATAAATGTGTTCTGCTCTTTAGAATCCACTTCTGTCTTGCAGCCTCTGGGTCAGCTTTTCACTCCTGTGGCTTGGATTTGGGCTCAGGCCACTGAGGCTGGAAGGCGCTGGACAGGACGCGGGGAGGGCCTGTGCGGGAGATTCGGGACCCCGCCTGGCTCACTCAGAGGGGCCCGACATTGGGTGGCGACTGCTGTGAGGGCAGCTCACATCCAGTTCTTCTTTTGCAGCCATATCCACCAAGATGATTGAGAGGATCTTCTCAGGAGCAGTGACGAGGTACGTCTCACACTCGTTGCTTCTCCGTTTTTCTCCTGATGATTTTGGCCAGTTTTCCATGTGTGAGTCCAGTTCTGCCTCATTCACTCCCTCATGTGAGCTTGTTGTGTTTTGAGAACGAGTGCCGTTGCCACATGAGGGCATAAGTAAGGGGGACACACGCCTTGTCCCCTGAGGTCATAAGGGGGACACGTGCCATTGTCACCTGAGGACATAAATAAGGGGGGACACGCCCCGTATCAGTGGTCCGTGTTAGGCCCTGGGCATCTGAGCGAGCCGTGGAGTTGAGGCGTCTGAGGCCACGGGGCAGCTGTGATGAAGGCCGAAGCAGCTCCACCTGGGTCCTAGGGGGACTTGGCCATCGCGTGATCTCGGAGGCCCCTCCCTAGTGGGAACCCAGTGTCGGGCTGGGCCAAACCCAGGGCTCCGCTCCCCAGCGGGAGGGGTAGGGAGCTCCCTCCTTGTGCTGCTTCTCCCTGACACAGACTTTGTCTCTCACTCTGGCCCTGAACCCAGAGGCAGAAAGGTCCAGAAGGAGGGGAAAATCAGCTACGCTGACTTTGTCTGGTTCTTGATCTCGGAAGAAGACAAGAAAACGCCGACCAGGTGGGTGTTGAGCAGCTATTCTGTGCTGCACCTGGTGGGGCAGTTGGAAGCCTAGTGGTCATCCCTGAGCAAGAGCACCACCCGGGGTCCATGCTGGGGGAGGTCCTTCCCAGGCAGGGTCCACGCTGGGCAAGGTCGTCCTCGTAGGGTCCGTCCCGGGTGGGGTCGATGCTGAGCAGGGTCCATCCCAGGTGGGGTCTGTCCCAGGCGGCCAGGCTGACCGAGGCCCACCCTGACCCACCGTGACCGCAGCATCGAGTACTGGTTCCGCTGCATGGACCTCGATGGCGACGGGGCACTGTCCATGTTCGAGCTTGAGTACTTCTATGAGGAGCAGTGCCGCAGGCTGGACAGCATGGCCATCGAGGCCCTGCCCTTCGAGGACTGCCTCTGCCAGATGCTGGACCTGGTGAAGCCCCAGAATGAAGGTAATGCCCCGTGCGAGGGGACGCCCAGGGACATGGGACGTTCCGGTGTGAGGGGACGCCCCATGTGAGATGGGACATCTCCTGTGAGATGTGACATCCTCGTGTGAGGGGACACCCTGTGTGACATGGGACAACTCCTATGAGATGTGACATCTCTGTGTGAGGGGACGCCCCAGTGTGAGATGGCACAACTCTTGTGAGATGTGATGTCCCCGTGTGAGGGGACGCCCCAATGTGAGATGTGACAATTCCTGTAAGAAGTGACGTCTCTGTGTCAGGGGAGATTCCCTCCTATGAGATGTGACAACTGTGAGATGTGACATGGCCGTGTGTGAGGATGCCCTAGTGTGAGATGCGACAATTCCTGTGAGAAGTGATGTCCCTGTGTGACGGGACGCTCCAGTGTGAGATGTGATGTCCCTATGTGAGGGGACATTCCCTCCTGTGAGATGTGATTGCCCTGTGTGAGGACACCCTAGTGTGAGGTGATATCCCCCTATAAGACGTGACATCCCAGTGTGAAGGGATGCCCCAGTGTGAGATGTGACAACTCTTGTGTGATAGGACATCGCTGTGTGAAGTGACGCTCACTCAGGGAATGGCCGTCCCCGCTCTAAGTTGGTGACAAGGGTGAGCAGGGCCCTGGGGAGAGCCGGTACCAACCATGTGTCACTAGAGACAGTGTGCAGGGCAGGGCAAGTGAGTGTCCTCACGTGTGACATCAGCACCTTTGTCCAGTGGCCGGTCACTAAGTGTCAACACAGTGCAGGTGTGTCTGGCCCTCCCCTCATCCCCCAAGTTTCCACTCAGTTTTCGAGGTCCCCCTGAGCCCTCACCTGTGACGGGCCCTGTCCTGTTGGGTGAGCATACATATTCCCCCAGGGTCAGGAAGGTGAATGTCCCGACCCCACATGCGTGTCCCTCTGCCTGTGCTCCACGATTTCCCAACTTGGGGAGACCTAGCCCAGGACCCCTGCTGTGGGCAGTGCTGAGGCTCACCTGCCCCTCCACTCTCCCCCTCGTCCCCAAGCAGCTTGAGTCCCAGCCCCGTGCCATCCCTCCTCCCAGTGCCATGACCCCCAGGGGTGTGTTTGGTTGACCTGGGAGCCAGGGGACCCACCGGAGGCGACCTGACCCTCCTCACCTGAGAAGGCTTTGTCTAAGGGGAGGCTGACATTGGCCCACAGAGGGACCCCAGGACCCCTTCCAAGGTCAAAGTGACTCCTCAATTAGTGTTGTGTTCCCATGGTTTATAATCCTGGTCTCAGGGTATTGTGACTTTGGATCGTCCTGGGGCCACTGTGGCCGGGGCCCGGCTCTCCCCGACCGCGGGGTTTCCTCGTGCTCAGTGTGTTCCTGTGCCTGGCCGCTCAGATGACATGTGCGCGGGTGCCCCCTGGCGGCCAGAGTTTCTATCCATTCATGCACTCGGCATCCGCTTCCATACCCCCAGTCGCACAGGACTGCAGGGCTGCTCAGCCCCTTTCCCCACCACCGAATCCCCTTCCAGTCTTCCCTCCATGCCTGGAATTATCTCATAGGTGTTTTTCTACATCAGTCAAATTGCATGAGAAACCTTAGCATTGTGCCGTTTTTCAAGGCATGTTTTTAGGCACACACACAACGACAGGCTTCTGAAGGTGCCCCCAGGACTAATTCTGTCTTGAACGCGCTTCATCTTCCTGCAGGGAAAATCACACTCCACGATCTCAAGAAGTGCAAACTCGCCAACGTCTTCTTCGACACGTTCTTCAACGTCGAGAAGTACCTCGACCACGAGCAGAGAGAGCAGGTCTCCCTGCTGCGGGTGAGTGGGGCGGGCAGCACGTGGGCGGGCAGGCTGGCCGCCGGCCGTGTCCACCCCGGGTGACGCGCGTGTGTCCTCTAGGAGAGCGAGAGCGAAGGCCCCGAGCTCTCCGACTGGGAGAAGTACGCTGCCGAGGAGTACGACATCCTGGTGGCCGAGGAGGCTGCGGGGGAGCCGTGGGAGGACGGGTGAGTGTGGGGACAAGGGGCACAGGGATGGCCCATGGGCGCCTCCTTTGCTGTGTCTGGCTGACCCTGAAAGCCCCTCGGACGGGGTCTGGGCCACAGACAGCACGTGGGGCTGCTCTCCCACTTCCTGGGGACGTCTGCGACATTTGAGCGACAAGTGTGTGGGACCCCCCCCCCCAGGTGGGGACGAAAAGACGGTGGTGAGTGTCCTGAGTGCACAAGGCAGCTCTCAGACTCTCAGGAGAGTCTCACGTCTCTGCCTGGAGCTGCGCCGGAGGTTTCAGGTCTGTGCCAGGCTGGACACGCGCTGGCCGCCGGGGGCCTGCTACCTGCACACACAGCCCCAAAGGAACCCTGCAGGCCTGTGATCAGGCTTCCCCCAGTGTCACGTGGGCCACGGAGCGTGCAGGGCCCAGGGTCCTGAGACCCCAGGCCGAGCCCCCGTGACCATGGTCAGGACACCCCCGGGGTGTCAGCGCAGGCAGGCCGGGCTCCCCTTCCCCATCCTGCTGCTCCACCCCTGGAGGCCTTGGAGCAGGCCGTGCCAGGTACGCGTGTGACCCAGGCCCACAGCCCAGAGCAGGCCCTCTCCTCACCCCACACCCCTTCACCCCACGCTGCCCCTCACAACGGCCCAGGCCCATCTGCTCTGACTTCACTCTGCCCTGACCCTTGGTCTCCACCAGAAACCCGGGGAAGTCTTCCTGCTGAGACAGTCCCTCCCCTCACACTGCAGAGGGTCCTGGCCGCGTCCCCGTACGGCTGGGTGGAGACCTAGCGAGGGGCTTCAGGGGCTGCAGACACCACAGGGCCGGGGTCCTGGACGTGGGAGAGGGGGGCCTAGAGAGCCCGGCTCAGGAGCCAGGACCCGATAGACCCTCGTGGGGTCACTCCCGTCTGCAGACCTCGTTGTGGTTTGGTTGGGAAGTCAGGCTGACAAGAGGGGAGACTGGCATCAAGGCAGGTTTGCCTCTCTGTCCCATGGCCAACAGCGGGCTGGACGGCGGGGCTGGGAAGTGGCCAGTCGGTGTGGAGGGTCAGGCATCCATGCGTGCACCCCTCATGGGCTCAAGCATGCACACATGCGTGTTCCCATCCCCCCCCGTCACACCTGCTCGGTCCCCAGGTGCAGGGTCAGGCGTGTTTCCACATGTGGTTTGAGTCACCGTCCGCCTCTGGGGAGGGGGGACCTCCCGGCGGTGACAACAGCGCTGCCTGCTCGGGGGTCCTCAGACCACCCCCCAGGGAGTTTCAAAGTGGGCAGGAGGGTCAGCACTTCCTTCACCCCTGAGCCCCCCCACCCTGCGGCCCTGGGCACGTGCTGCTGTTTTTGGTCCAGGACTTTCCAGAATGTTCCAGAAATGGACTGCCGCCCTTCTCTCAGACTGGCCTCTTCACTGAGCCCCAGGCACCTGAGATCCATGCCCATCTCTGGGCGCCTCAGGAGTCTGTTCCGTGAGCGCTGAGCGCTGTCCCGTGGTTCCGGTGACCGCGGTGTGCTCACTCACAGGTGATGGGCGTCTGGCCGTCTCTGTCAGCTCCAGTTTTGGGCAAGTGAGAGTGAGGCCACCGTAAGCTCTCCCGCTGGTGTTCGTGTGGACGGCAGCTTCATTCTCTCGGCTCCATACCGGGAGCGAGGTTCCGGGTCCCGCGGTAGACGTACGTTTTCCTGTGTGAGAAGCTGCCCCACGTTGCGCGCCCACCAGCGGGGGAGGAGAGTTCCCCCTGCTCCACACCCTCGCCCACGCGGTGACGGTTGGGGGTTTCTTTTTTAGGTTTAGCCATTCTGTGAGCCATGTAATACTGTCGCATCGTGGTTTTCATCGCTCTGTCCTCGTCGGCCCTCCATGTGTCCTTTTGGGTGCAGGGCCTTATCTTTTGCCCATTCTCCATTTTGGATTATTTCTTTTCTTATTATTGAGTCTTCAGGGCTCTTTATATCTTCTGGATACAATTCATTTATTAGATACATGATTTCTTAACATTTTCTTCCAATTTGTGGCATATCTTTTCATTCTCCTAAAGTGTGTGTCTCAGAGAGGAGAGGTTCTTAATTTTGATGATTTATCGATTTGTTGTTTTTAAAGACTATGCTTTTGGTGTCAGATCTACAAAACCATTGCCTAACCCAAACCCATAAAGGTTTTCTGCTGGAAGTTTTCCTGTTTTACATTTAGGTCTGTGAGCCGTTCTGAGTAAATTTCCCCGTGGGGTGTGAGGTCTGGATCCAGGTTCTTTTATGCATGGGGGTGTCCGGTTCCTCCAACACCATTTTTATGCAAAGCCATCCAGTTGGCGTCTTTCCTGAAAATCAACTGACCGTGTACGTGGTCTCGTTCTGAACGTTATTCTGTTCTGTATATCTCTCTGTCCATTCACCACTACGACACTGTTTCGACCACTGTAGCTTCAGGGTGGGCGCTGGAATCATGGGGCACGAGGCCTCCATCTGTGGTCTTGTTCAGATTGTTTGGGCCACTTGAGTTGCTCTGCCTGCCCGGGTGTATTGTAGAATCAGCCTGTCGCTCCCCACGAACAGTCCTGCGGGGACGTTGATCGACTGTGCCGTCTCTGCACGGTCAGAGTCGACACCGTGGCCACGCTGTCTGTCTGCAAGGATGGATTTCAGGACTGTCTGTCCCCTGATCTGTGACTGTCCTCCCCCACCCACCTTGTCTGGATTTCTGGGGCTGTGTGCTAACATCCACCAACATTTTCCTTCTTTTTCGACATTGCCTTGGGTATTCTGGTTCCTCTGCCTTCACGTGTAAATTTAAGAGTAAGCGTCCCTGCTTTTGCAAAATATTCTGCTGAAACTTTGAGATTTTGATGAATGAATAATCATCGTGGCCACAGTCGATATCTTAATGATATAGTTTCCTAATCCACAAACACGCTTTCTCTCTCCATTTATTTAGGTCTTCTCTGATTTTCTTCATCAGTATTTTGCAGTTTTCAGTGTACGGATCCTATGCATATTTTGAGATTTGTACTTCATAATCTTTGGTATTAAAAAGGTAAAGTTTCAGTTGTTCATTGGTAGAATATAGACATATTGTTGATCTTGTATTTGGCAACTTTATAAATGCACTGATTCTGTAAGCTTTCCTATAGGTTCTTTGGGATTTTCTACAGTGACGGTCACTCTGTCTGTGAATAGGACAGTTTTATTTCCTTTCTTCTCCTCGTCTGTTGCAGCTCCTAGAATGTCCAGTACAATGCTGCATAGACGTGGTGAGGGGAGACGCCCTTGCCTTGTTCCCAGTCTGAGGTGCAAAGTAGGCATCGTGCACCATGAAGCGTGTTAGCTGTGGGGTTTTTTGTAGACATCCTTTATCACCTGGAGCAAATGCCCTTTTACTGCCATGTGCTGAGACTCTGAATTCTGTCAGATGCTTTTGGTAAAATGGTTTCTCTTCTGTGGTCTGTGGACATAGTGAGTTATATTGATTTTTGATGGTTGAACCAGCCTTGCATTCCCAGGATAACCCTATGTGGTCATGATGTGTTATCCTTTTTATTTATCCGGCTTCCATCTGCAAGGATTATTTGTAGTTTTTTATCTTGTGACACAATCTTGTTTCGGTATTGGGGTAATGCTGGCCTCGTAGAATAGTGGAGAGCGTGCCTCTTCCTTCTGTTCTCTGGGAGCGTTTGTGTAGACGACGCGCTATTTCTTCCCTTTGGTGGAACTCACCCTGATGCCTCTGGGCCTGGAGTTTTGTGTGCCCAGAGTTTGCAGCCGCCCGAGGTGCACTCGTCAGGGGAGCAGCCGGCGGTGCCTCGCAGGCCATGTCAGAAACCAAGCCCGCGGGTCTGACTGCTCTGGGCCGCCGTGTCGGGGCCCCTCCTGTGTCTTCACTCAGCCCCTCCTTGCAGGTACGAGGCCGAGCTCAGCCCCGTGGACCAGAAGCTGTGTGCGCTGCGGTCTCCCCTGGCCCAGAGGCCCTTCTTCGAGGCACCCTCCTCCCTGGGCGCGGTCGACCTCTACGAGTACGAGTGCGGGGACGATGACCTGCAGCCCTCGTGACCGTGCCCGGGAGGGACTGTCTGTGGTGGCCTGCTGGATGCAGCGGCTTTTGTGTAAAAAACAACAAAACTGTGTTTGATGGTTGAGCTGTCTTTTACAGAAAATGAAGTGCGTTTGTATGGAATGATACACTTTTATTTATTCAGCACGGAAGCTGGTCGGAGATGGTCATTGACGCGTGTGTGCCCACCCCTCCTGGAGGGGCCAGCGCATGTCCAGGAACCCCTGGCCGGGCCTGGCGGGAAGACACGCGCACCCCGGGAGAAATGCTCTAGGGCATCCAGGAAAATCGGGACGGCCTCCCTCTAGCTTCAGGGTCCAGGCGTTTCGAGACTTACCCGGTCCTGGCCGGCAACCGGTTTCTGCTCCAAAGGGATCTGCCTCAGTGTCGCGTGGCAGGCACTGACTTCTGGGCGTCGGATGGCCGTGTGTTGTTCTTCTCAAGTAGTCGGAGCATTCCAGGACCCCGGCGCTGCAGCAGCACTGGAACCTTCCGGAACAAGTGTCCCCGGGCACAGCCCTCCCCGCAGGGTGCGGGACGGAGGGCCCACTCGAGTTATTTGAATGTTTTCATGTTGTAAATGTACAAAGTATGTAAAGTTAACTTTTATTTGCTGTGTAGAACGGTTTAAAAATGTTTTATGAGATCACGTTTGTATTTTCAAATAAAGAATTTAAAGATTTTCAATCAAGGGCTCAGCTCACCCAGCCCGTGATACCCAGTCTGCAAAGGTGACAGCAGCGCTACTGGGGACACACAGGAATGTCACCAAGGGGAGACGTGGCCACATTGCCGGGTGGGGATGGCCCTCGGGGGCAGGAAGCTGGGTCAGCACGGGTCACAGGTCCTGGGGATTGACAGCTCCCAGCAGCGTGTCCCTCCTCTGACCCCCCTCGGCTGGTCTTGACACCATGCCCAGGGGGTTTTCCCCCACGGGTGGCTTCCAAAGTCTGGAGAGGGGAGGAGAGACGACTCGACTGCACAGATGCTCCGCCTGAGGCCTCGACCTCCAAGCCCACCATTTGCGGAGAGGCTTGCAGAACGTGGCCTCGTGTGGGGGCAGGCTGTTCCAGGGGCCTGGACCCTGAGCGCCCAGGCCAAGGCCCATGCCGGGACGTGCAGACTTGTTCTTGTGTGTGCACAACAGAGGGAGGGGAATCCTTCCCTACAGACAGAAATGGGGAGACCCCCCCGAAATCCACTCTCCACGTGTGCACGGGGGTCGGCTGTACGGGGTCGTCCCCCTCTGGTGTCCGGGAGCCTCTGTGGTTTGGCACCAACACGAGATTTCAAGGGTGGGAGTGGCCACACCCCAGGTGTCCGTGGGGAGCAGTGCCAATGAGTGGCCCTCAGGGACACCCCACGGGCATCCCCCACCCGGGCTGCGGGCCTCAGGCCGCTCCCACCTCCACCACGTCAGGTGCAGCCAGTTTAAAGCATCTTGGTGCTGCCCAGACCGTGCCGCACTCTCCTTCTCCTGCAGCTGGGCCCAAGGCACTGGACACCACGAAACGCGCCAACAGGGCCCTGGGCCGTGAGAGGAGGAGCCAGCGGCCCATGCAGAGCGGGACCACCCAGACAAGGGAGCCGGCACCAAGCTCTACAGGGGAGCAAAGCTGGTTCTGGGACCTGCCAGCCGAGCTGAGCACAGTGCTCAGCCGGGGCCCTGCGAGGAAGCCGCGGGCAGGTAGACACCTGGGTAGGTGGGCACCCTGAGGGTCCCCAGTCGAGGGTTGCGTGGCCCTGCCCCGTGTACAGGGGGCCGGCTCTGTGGGAGCAGATGGCAGGGTCACCACCATCCACCCGCAGCCTGGAGGCCCCGAGGGCCCAGGTCATCCGCAGTCGGAGGCCACAGGCCACCCAACCCGGGACCAGCCGGCTATGGACACAACGTGGTGATGCAGGAGGAGCTCTGGACGTGGGTCCCACCCGGGGTGTGGGCCATCTTCAGTCAGACACCTCCTGGGGACAGACAGGACACTCAGGACCCGATGGATGGGCACAGGACAGATGGACAAATACACGGACACGTGGTATGGCCTGGGCGCCCTCCACGGCAGTCACCGGTCAGTTTGGGATCTATGCCTCCGGGATCGGGGGCAGCCAGGCAGGAGCCAAGAGAGACACCGAGGGTGCCAGGGCCCTCCGAAACCTAGTGTCCTGAGCCACACAGGCTGGGGCATGGGGACCACACCCTGCCAGCCTTGGGCACCCGAGCACCCCGCACGAGCCTAGAGGCCACACCCTAGTCAGAGCCCCCGGGATGACTCAGGGCCTGGGCCCCCAGACAGTCGGGCCAGCCCCCCAGGTGATCATCCACACAGCAGGCACCCAGCGACCCGTCTGCACGGCAGGCACCTGGGTGTTCTGTTCACACAGGGAGCCCCATGTAATCCACCCACAGGGCAGCCCCGGGTCACTCTGACTAGGGCCAGAATCCCTGGTACTGGACCTGCAAAGGACCCTGCTCCCATACCCCACACTGGGCACAGAGGTTGTGATGTCCCCGGGGAGACCCCATCAGATGGGGTCTCCTGCTTCTCCCTGACCCAGGGCCTGGGGGCAGGGGCAGGAGAAGGCAGCTCCCACGTGGCACCCAGTCAATGCCCTACACGGCCCAGTCAGCATCCTCTCCAGCCCCATCAATGCCCCACGTGGCCACCACCCAAAGGCCTAGCCTGGGACATACCCCCTGGGCATGGACACACTCCACATCGATGTCTTCACTGGAAGCGTCCTCAGAAGATAGGGTGTTAACATCAAAGATGTCCCTGCAGAGGAGAGAGGGCGGCCAGTCAGTCCTCCACTCTCTGTCAGCCACCAGCAAGCCAGGAGCAGGACACACCCCCAGCAGTTCCCTGAGGGACCCAGCCTCGTCTAGAGCCTTGATCCTTGTTGAGAGACTGAGGTGGGAGACCAGGTGGGCAGGAGCCCTGGAGGGGACAGGCCTGGACGGCCGTGGGAAAATGAAAGAAGAGATGGAGTCTCATGGAGGAGGGATGGAGTCTGAAGAAGAAGATGGAGGCAGATGGAAAGGAGATGGAATCTCATGGAGGAGGAGACGGAGACAGAGGAGGAGATGGAGTCGCATGGAGGAGGAGATGGAGCCTCATGGAGGAGGAGA